CCCACTCAAATAGTATAGATCAATTATTAAGAATTCAAAAGTAGGTACGTTCTTGATAGGGCTGTACAGAATTGATTATCAAAATGTATAAAAGTTAATTGTTAATTCAAGACAAGTTCGCCTACAAATTGTCATGATCGATTAGCGATCAAGCCAATGATTTTAGGCTATACTATGATAGTAAGAATAGTGAGACGGTATAAGGGCTAGTGGATTTTTTTGTTTAGCTTTGGCTTGCATACAATCTTAAGCCAATTATATAATATAGCTATGCACGTTTTATTAAATTGATTTTTAGTATACTTTAATTATTAGCCACATGACTAACGGTACGTGCAATTTCACGTGATCTGGTACATGTCCATAGATGGTCCGAGTTGAGCGTCCTTATCCTAGACCCCCAGTTCAGGATAATTATCCTGAACCCCCAGGGTTCAGACAAATTAAGCTAGACCCTTTATAGTTATCGTCTTTTAAAAAAAAACCGTTACTTATTAAGATTTTAAATACTGTAATTACAATTTCTCTCACAGTGAACATATTTAAAACTGTATGTGTATGATTGTTGAACTTACAAGTAAGGTAATTCGTATTTTGTTTTTCAGTTTTTTGTTTTTTGCAAACATATATGTTTTCTTTAACTATAGAGATCTAAAGTAGACAATTAGTAGCAAAAAAAGGTCGCGGTATTGTGATCGATCGTTTTCAGCCCAGCCTTTTTTTTCGGTTTAACCAATCACTAAAAATTCTTGCGGCTAGATACTTAAAGTACATTTTGTAAGAATCTGTGGGTCATGTTGTTCTATTAGAGAATAAGTTTAAAGCAGTGCTTGAAGGTAAATATTCAATATTGGGATTAAAAATCAATTATTATTCCAACTTCAATTCAATTTTCGGTTTACTAATTTGACTCGTATTTTACTGTTTTATTTCATGTATATCCAAGATAAATATTAGAATAATGAGCTAGTGAATTGTCATAAAATGATTATTAAATTATCCAATAATTAGTTATTAAAAATATGAATCTTGAAGCTTTAAGTGGTGAATCTCGAAATTCAAGAAAACCTGAAAGATTATAATTTATAACGTTTCTTTTAGAGGCTGCCATCGATAGAGAACTATTCAAAGAATCTGTCTGATTTCTATTGATGGCAACCTACATTATATGGGCTAGTTTCTGGAAAAAAGGCCAAAAATGAATTTTTTTCAAGAGATTTTTTTACATAAATTAATTTCGAATAAGATCTTTTCACTTAAGATACAAAAGTAATTGTATTAATAAAATTTTACAGTATAGCTCTTTAAAGTTTGTATTTTCTTATGATTTATTATAAGATTTATAATATAAAAATTGATTTTCCGAAGTTCTTTTTTTTTGTCATTTTCGGCCCTTTTCTCAACACCTAGCCCATATATTGTGTTTATTGATTAAGTATAATGCATTTATTAATAAAATGTAAATAAATTGTATTATTTTGCATCAAAAACATGGTTTAATATTTATTATTTTCAATTACTATCATCATGAACATATTGTCCAAACTCAACGCTATCAACCATAATGTTTTTTGCGGCTTCTAAAGAAATATTATCAAAATCCTCTGCAATAAGTCTGATCGCTGTTTCCAGAACCAAAACTTGTGCCAAATATTGAGAGGATGATTGCGGTGCACAAAGATTTGTAGTTAATATTTTAGTCTCGACAAACATTTCCGTTAAAGTTTTTAAAATAACCGCTAAACCCTTAAATCCATAATACCCGGGCTAAAAAACAATTTAACATCAAAATTAAATTAATTAAATAACTATGGTCTACTCATCCAAAACCAATTGTATCAGTTCTATAATATAAACCCATTAGTCTGCTATTTATAATAACCAATACTTATAAATGCAGTGCCATTTGTTGGTGTTACAAGAACTTTCGTTTAGGCATGCTAGTTGTAGGGATTTGCTTGGCAGGTAAGAGATAGGTGGGGCCCCTAAGAGCCAGGATCCGTAGAATCCCTCTCCTCTCCTCCTTCTCCCCTATGCAAAGGGCATTTCGTAAGTCAACCTCTATGATGCACACCAATATCATCCTTTTTAGGATCCATTTGCTTGCGGGGTTACCATCAACAATAATAATAGAGCATATATTCGTCTTTTCAACTTCTAATCCACAATGGTCAAGATCATAAAATATAGATGGTTTGTTATATCGGAAAATTCTTGATAATAAATGAACAAAAGTCTTATGTTCATTCTTTTAACCTTCAATTCCATTTACTTCTCGATCATCTCTGCTGATTTTGATAAATCTTACATTCATCCTTTTTAACTCCTAATTCACATTAATAACAATATTCAAGATTATAAAATGCATATGATACTATTGATTATATCGGCAAAACTTAATAATAAATAGTTAAATACCTTATGTTTATCCTTTTTTTTTAATTTCAATTTCATTTCAATAATGATAACCAAAATTGTTTATTTCACGATCTCTTCCCATTTCTGCTGGTTTTAATATAGCATTATATTTATTCTTTTAATTCATAATCCATATTAATAACAATAATAGGGCCACAAATATAGTAACATTTATTAAATCGGCAAAATTTTAATAATGAATAAATAATACCTTATGTTTATCCTTTTTAATTCCAATTCTTTTTGACAACAATAATCATTATTTTATTTTGCAGTTATTTCTTATCTTTACTGATTTTGATAAATCATTATATCCATCCTTTTCAGCTCTTATTCGACATTTGATAGTAATATTAAAGCTATTTAAGTTGCAATAACAATTCTATTTGATGACGATGTCCAAGATTGTTTATTTGATTGCTGTTTCTACTCTGCCGACTTTTAATAATTAACAAAACTTATATTCATTCTTTTTGACTCCTAATCTATTTATAATAATGTATAATATTATAAATTACAATAATATTTCCTATATTAGCGAAAGTTTAATAATAAATAAATACCTTAGTTTTGCTTCATTATTATTTTATATCTTGATAATCAGTGAAGTCTTATGTTCATCCTTTCAATTCTTATTCAAACTTGATAATCTCTCAAAACTGATACAAAACTCATTCACCAAATATATTGGTTTTGGGAGAGTAGACCATATACTAACTCTAGCAGATATTACGTGTTATATGCTAATTTTAAGCTCACCTGATAAGATTCGAAATAGTTGATTTGCAGCAATGAATTATTGGCTTTTGATATTCCATTTTCTTGAATTCTTTTAATTGAATTTACACGAAATTCACTATATCGTGAGCCTTTTATAATTTTTAGCAACTCATATTTCAACTTTGTAATCCGATTAGGTAATTCTATGAAGTCTATATTTAGTGGATATCCTTTCTCAATTCCATAAGGAATAATTATTCCTTCTCCTCTATGAACCCAGCAAAATTCATATTGTTCATCTACAGTACGGGCAAATCTTAATTTATAAAATAAAACTAGTAAGTCCATATAACATATGTAAATAAATTAAGTAAATTAAGTAAAAATGTTTAACTTTTTTTCATAGCTATATCATTCAAATATTCTAAAACTTTTGATGGTAGTGGATTTGGTAGAGTTTCACCACAATATTGACATCGTTCTTTCTCATTTTGACTTTTTTCTATATTAATTACATTAAAAATTTTTTGATATTAATAATTTGTTTTTAATAATAACTGCTACGGCTAGTGCTTGGAATTTGGATAAAGTTAGATTAGAATTCAGAATTGAAAATATTAATAAAGTATAGGCGAATTTTAATAAAGTTTATATTTATAACTAAAGGTTCCAAATTTCAGTATCAGCCGTAACAATAATTAATAAGTAACTTACCTAAGTTCAATTCATCAGATAAAAAATCTGATCCAATAAAATACTGGCTTGAAGAACTAGAGCCTTGTGAATACATTGTTTCAGTATTAAGATCTTGAAGCTCGTATAATGGGTCCACATGTGTTATACTAGAAGTGATAGATTCTTGTAGTTCCGGTATATTTTCTTTCTCATTTTTGTTGATTTTTTTGTTTTTTTATTGTTAGATAACTCGAATGTACTTAAAATTCTTTTACTAGATGATCGACCTTTCCCACGTACTGTTAATAGATTTTTTATTGTTGGTGTAATCTTTGAACTGTCAGATCGTGTTCTATTAGTTTTTTCAATTTCAGTGGTAAATATTTCATTAAAAGGTGTATATAGTGTTGTAGCCATTATTGGATTTTGTAATACAAATCGTTGTATTTTTTGTAACAATCGAGTAAACATATATTGATCATTTTGGCAATTGTTCGATTCATTATCTAGTGTCGGCTGCTGCAATGGAGTTGAGGTTATAAAGGTGATGTAATTACTGATAAGTTCTTTTTCATTTGGATTTTTTTTCCATCGATCATAAAAAAGACTAGTTGGAAGCTCTTCTAAATTTAATTGCATTGCAGTTCGAAAAATATGCCAACATATAAAACCTGAAAATTGGGTATATTTGCAAGAACATCTAAAATAATTAGATATTGGATCATATTCTACAATTCTTCCGTTTGCTTCTTTTTCATATCTTTGAACTCGAAAACTCATTCTGGTACTATTGTTTATTAATAAAAAGTATAATTAGTTTGTTAGTAAAAAAGTATAATTATGAATTATTAATTGTATTTTATATTAATAAATACATTACTTTGAAATATCTTCACATTTATACATAAATGATTGTAATAATTGTTCTTGTATTTTTTTTAAAGAAAAGGTAGTTAAAATAGAAGCAGCCTGACGTTCGTATAAACTTGTAGTTTTATAGATAACATTAAAATTATTTTGTTGAAATATTCGGAACTCAGTTTTTTCATTTTGTGTATCTAGTGCTGATTGAAATACTGATATAAATGCAGTAAGAGATGTATTCACATCTAAATAACCTTTCATCATATTGTTCATAGACTCTCCACGTTGTGTGGTTGTCATATCTGCCATAAAAGTATCGCAATTAAAACATGCTGCCCACTTTTCCTTTGTTTTCTCCATACGTAACAAATAAGATGCTGCTGGTGGATAAAGTGTTTTAAGTGTATCCCATTGTGTAAGAAAGTTTGAAATATCCATTTCTCCAAAGCATTTATAAAGATCTTTTATAAATGCTGACCAATTTGTACCAAGTTTTGCATTTAAATTCTTCATTATATTTTTCATTAAATGCCATTGGCATAATCGATGTTTTGTACCCAAAGGTTGCAGAATTCTTGCATAAGCATTTGCTATTGCGTGATCTTCATCTGTAAGAATAACATTTGGTGCATGATGATTAATCATTTCAAGAAATTTAGTAAAAATCCATGAAAAATTTTCTTCCGTTTCATTAATCATTAATGCACCGGCGAAACATACACTATATCCATAATTATTTACTCCAGTAAAAATCCCGACTGGCCTCTTAAAATGATTGGTTTTGTAAGTGTTATCATAAACTATTATATCATTAAACCTACTATAATTCATACGTTGTTCAGGAAACATCCATATTACTCGCTCTAGTCTTCTTGTATCCTCATTAATATCAATATAAAAAGAAACTCATTATTATCATACTTAAATTGTTCTAATATTTTAGTAAATTCCTCAGCATCTAACTCTCTTTTTTCAGGAGATCCTTCTAAATAATAAATAAAATTGTAGATATCATCATATACCCATGTAACATGATCTCTGAATTCTTCCTTTAATATTGCACGTATCGTTGGAACATCTACACTAGCCCGACGTAATAATTCTATTCGTTGTTTAATATCATCAGGAATATATCATTCATTAGACATAAAAATTCTATGATTTTCATCAACCATTTGATGATTATGAGTAAGGTCCATATTGACAATATACCATAGACCATTAGTACTATTTAAAGAGGCACGAATATAAAAAGAACAACCATAACGTTGAGATGCTCGATTTCGTTCTTTTTTAGGATTTTCATCATCTGAATTATTTTCTTTTGGCTCAGAATAACCAGATCGGGAGCACAATAATGTTCTTTTACGAATCATCTTTTTTATTTCATTATGTTTAGAAGACTTTTTTTGAATATTCAACTTTTCCAAGCCTAATAATAAAGCCAAGCTCACGTGCATAGTTTTTAATTTTGTTGACAAACTCGTCATGTTCTTTAAATGTATCATTAATTTGAGGTTGATAAGACAAAGTAGAATCATTTTCATTTTGAGTTGTCATAGCTTTTACAAAAAGTAAATTATCGTATAACAATATGTACGCGTCCAAAATAAAACAGATTTGCATAGTACAAAATTAATTATAGATCGGTCTAGATTAAATAATCTATACCCCCCAGGTCTAGGATAAATAATCTAGACCCCCCGGTTCAGGTTAAGTTTTCCCGTCCGAGTTTATCGGATTTGAAAAATCACATGATAAATGGTAGGAAATAAGCCAATCAAATTGTAGAATTGGTGTGCGCTAAGTT